CACCTCCCCCTGGGGGCTAGGGATGGAGGAGGAGTGTAGGAGGGAGCGCCAGTGTAGGCAGAAGACATGTGGTGAACGTTCGCCAGGCGTGTGTTTATGATAAACGTATTAACTGCTTCTGCTGACGATGTTTTTTATGGCACTTTCGTCTGGCGTAGCTTCTGTTAGCCTGTTATTGTTTTAAGTGAACGCCAGACGATGTTGACTTTTCGTGCTGGTGATGTTTTATATAAGTGGGTGTTAGCAGAGGCGGGATGAGTCAACACGGGCGAAACTTTCACTCACGATAACAACAATGGGAGTTGATTTGTTCAGTAAGTCATGTCAAGATTCTCAGAGGGTCGTAAGTAAAAAATCTTAGAGGGTCGTAAGTCAGGTCAAGATTCTCAGAAGGTTGTAATTCAGGTCAAGATTATCAGAGGGTCGCACTTCAAGTCATTAACCTCCTAGCTGGTGTTGTAGGAACGTGTGTACCTGCCTGATCCAGTCTATGATAAAGCCTCAGAGGGTCGTGTAGGAGTGGTGCAGGTGGAGGAGGAGGAGGAGGAGAAGGCGTTTGGATCAAGGGATTCGTAGAAAAGAAAGGTTGAATTCCATAAGAAGAAGAGGAGAAAGAGGAGGAGGTGAAGGTGAAGAAGGAGGAGGAGGAGGAGGAGGAGGAGGAGGTGGAGTTAAGATCAAAGGGTAAACTCCACAAAAGGATGTGTCAGGTGGAGCTGGTGGAGGTGGAAATGGCTGAGTATGAATGTGTACGTGTAATACTTCCTTATATGGTGTACTGTGTTGGTGTGTGTGTCTACATCTGTTTACTGTGTGGGGGGGGGGGAGAGGAGGTAAGATGGTGTACTAGTGTTGACAAGTGTGTGTGTGTGTAGAGCTTTGTTTATAATGTTTGGGGATCTTGTTTACAGTATACGTAGAGACTAATGTTTATCTCTATCTCTCCCCTCCTGACAGCTAACACTCCTTCATTATAAAGTCACACAATAATGTAAATACTTAGTGAATAAGGAAAGAAAGAATGTAAGAAAGAACCAAAATTGAAGACGAAATCAGTAAAAACATGAACAGTGAGAGAGACAAAACTCACACCTGTATACCTTGGTCACCTGAGTCTTCACTAATGACAAACACTTCCAAGACACTCACGAATCCAATGACACATGGCCTCTTGGAAGTGAGTGTAAGGTGCCTCTAACCTCGTCCAGGCCTCCCCAGTGAGCCGGGTTGATAGTCGTGTGTGTGTGTTTGTTTGCGTGTGTGTGTGTGTGTGTGTGTGTGCATCCCGTGTGGGCGTACCGTGGGCGTACCGTGGGCGTCCAACCAGGATCTAGTGTGTTGAGGACAGCAAGTGATCTCTCGACTCGTGGTTCACTTTTTGTGTCGACTCCTGGGCTGGGTGTTGTAGTTTCCCTGCTGGCTGTGTGTGTGTGTGTGTGTGTGTGTGTGTGTAGGCTGTGTACCGTTTACCTGGCGAGGTGTATCTACTGTCTCAGGGCTGCAGCGGCTGTGTCTCAGGGCTGCAGCGGCTGTGTCTCAGGGCTGTAGCATCTAAAAGGCGTCAAAACCTGTCTCTCATTTGTCCATTGTTTTTACACTAATGAAGAAGCAAAAAAGAATGTCATTATTGGTATCACATGTAAACAGTGTCCTAAGATGATTTCTGGACTGCTGACTCACACGATAACAACAACAAAACTTTTACTTGACGATCAGAGAGTAAACGATAACTGCTTGTTTAATGACGACTGATAAGGAAAGGTCATGTATTAAAGATCAACCCCAGACTATGTTAATCGTCACCTCCTGGTCCTCCTTCTCCTTCTCCTGCCCCTCCTTCTGTCCTCCTCAATCTCTTACCCCTCATCCTACCCCTTCTACCCCTACACCACCTCTGACCCTTTCTCCTACCCCTCCACCAGCTTCCACCCCCTCCTCTGCCCCCTACACCACCTCCTACCCCTCTACCTACCCATCCTCCACATTCTACCTCGCCAGCTCATAAAGCCCACTCGCTCCTAGCTGTGAGAGGCTGGCTGGTCTCGTTCTTGGCATCGAGTGTCTTGGTACAGTTGTGGCGTGGGCAGCAAGAGCTGTCGGACAGGTTTCCAAGAGGACCAAGTGGCTGGCTGGCGGTCTCCTCCTCCCTCCTTCACCTCACTGACCATGGGATATTTTTTTTCTTCTTTTGGGGGGCTGACATTTGCTGCTGTAATGTCAGGCCACAACACAGCTGACAAAAATGCCTAAATTTCTTTCTCCAACCGATGATAAGAAACAAGAAAACTTGAGTAACAGCCATCTTGTCGTAGTAGTTAGAAGAATTCGATAAATTTCACAGGCCCTCCACGACCCCCTCCTCCCCAGCCCTCCCCTTACCGTCCCTCCTCACCCCTCTGCCCCCCCCACCACCCCGTCCCCCCTCACTCTCACCCCCCAATAAAAAAAAACTTGTCAGCTCACTCTTAAAACTCTAAATATTGAAATTAGATGCACAGTGTAACCTTTATAACACAAGCTTGATTTACGTAACTGTACTAATACATAAAAATAATATTATATCTCTCTATACAAACAGTTTATATTGTTGTGGTAATGTAGTGGAGGAGTTAAAGCGTTAGCGTAGGAGTGAAGCAAGAGGTGAGGTTAGTGAAAGTCTCCATCTCCCGTGTGAGGTTATTGGTACAAGAGTTCTCTGGGCCATCATCACTATCTTGCTTCACTATTCATGTCTCATTATCATCTCTCACTATCATGCCTCACGTCTTCACCATCACCACCATCATCTTCACCATCACCAATTGTTTACGGCGCTAAATTATTATTGACAACACCACGGCCCTCTCCACCACACCACGGCCCTCCCCACCACACCACGGCCCTCCCCACCACACCACGGCCCTCCCCACCACACCACGGCCCTCTCCACCACACCACGGCCCTCCCCACCACACCACGGCCCTCCCCACTACACCTCGGCCCTCCTGGATATTAGGAAACTCACCTGAGTGTCCGTTGTGTCACTCACCTTGCCTGGCCTCGCCCACGCTGCCCCAGGTACAGTTTCCAGAGAGGCGGGTCAACCTCCACCACCACCACCATCATCACCTCCACCACCACCACCACCATCATCGCCTCCACCACCACCACTACCACCACCATCACCATCATCATCACCACCACCATCACCAACTTCACCACCACCACCATCACCACCACCACAAACATCATCATCATCATCATCATCATCATCACCATCACAACCTCCACCACTGCCACCATCATCACCACTACCTCCACCATCACCACCAACGCCACAACTACTACTACTACTACCACCACTACCACACGCCCACGGCCAGGAGTCTCTCTATCACACCTTCATATTGCAACTGTTGCAAGGTCTAGTTCTGGGTTGGTAACTCATTGCATCACCTCACGAAGCCCGGTATGATTCACCATCCCCATACATACATATACATTCATACATACATACATACATACATACATACATACATACATACATACATACATACATACATACATACATACATACATACATACATACATACATACATACATACACGAGTGTACTGGGTGTAGGTGTCAACAACTTCAGGTAACATACACTCGAGTTATTACTGAAGCCAGGTGAGGGCAGGTGAAGTGTCGTGAAGCCAGGTCAGGGCAGGTGAAGTGTCGTGAAACCAGGTCAGGGTAGGTGAAGGTAGGTGAGAGCAGGTGAGGTGTGGTGAAGCCAGGTGAAGGCAGGTGAGGTGTGGTGAAGCCTAATAGTGACTGGCAGCCTCGACATAGTGTAAACTCGTACAGTGTCCCGTGACTGTGTTTACATAATAGGTTTAACCAAGACAGTGACAGCCTCTCTTGATCTGACTAATAAGCTTAACGTGAGGGAGTTTTTCTTTTTTTCTCTCAAGTGACGCTATTTAAGAGGTGGTTGGGAAGCTTGTTTACGCAATTGCATAACCGTATATTGCAACAGCAGGTGATTAGGATGATTATAAAATATTAAGTTAATAATACTTTTCCGGTAACCTGTTTTGAGTATACTTATAGATGGAGGGACCTATTTTAATGACCTTCTAATAGTGTACCAACGCCCACGCCCATACCCACGCCCACTCTCTCACAAAGGGCGTTGGTCATGAGGGGTGTAAGGTGAGTCACTAGTCTGACCTCCATCGTGACTCAAACAAGATTAATAAGACCGTGTTCCATACCTGTGACGTGTTACACCACCATCGACGAGGTTAGGTTAGGTTAGGTTAGGTTATAGTAGGTTAGGTTGGGTTAGGTTGGGTTGGGTTAGGTTGGGTTGGGTTGAGAGTGAAGTTCCCTCAAGACCTGCTGTAAACGGGATCTCACATAAGGATAATAATAAAAACCCTCGACAGGACCTGAAGGATACTGGGTGTTGGTGGGGGACCTGCGGGCGGCCTTGTCACGTCCATATTAGATGAGGGCGGCGTCCGTGTGGGCGCGGGCGGGGCTCGACTCATTTTGGCCTGTGGTTAAGGGGGGGACCATAGGCATTACCCAGCACGCCAACCCTTCCTCTTCCCCCACCACCCTCCTCCTTCTTTCTCTTCCCCACCACCCTCCTCCTTCTTTCTCTTCCCCACCACCCTCCTCCTTCTTTCTCTTCCCCACCACCCTCCTCCTTCTTTCTCTTCCCCACCACCCTCCTCCTTCTTTCTCTTCCCCCACCCTCCTCCTTCTTTCTCTTCCCCACCACCCTCCTCCTCCTCCCTTCCCCCACCTACTACTTCCCCCCTCCCTCTCCCCACTATTACTACGCGAGTCAAAATACAAAACCGAGCCACAGATTTAAGGCAGCTCATTATCGCTTTTTCTTATATTTTCTTGTTTATTGTGATTATTCCTATGTTCTTGTTTATTATGATTATTCCCATTTTCTTATTTATTATGATTATTTCTATTTTCTTGTTTACTAATTCGTGTTTGTTTGTCTTCCACAGAACACAGAATGAGGGTGTTTGTCATAGGCCTGGCTCTCTTGGCCGGGACTTGGGCTCAACATCCTTGTAAGTCTCTCTCTCTCTCTCTCTTGTAAAGAATGTAAACTTCAATGTAAATAAGGTGTAAATAAGTATAGTAGTTACTTAAATAAGATGTAAATACGATAATAGCCACTTAATTGTAAATCAGGTGTCAAAAAGTATGGTAGTTACTAATAATTAAATAAGATATAAGTAATTTTAGCAGTAACTTAAAAGAAAGTTTGTAAATAATAATGGTAGCTACTTAATTGTAAATAAATGCCACTTAGACGTAAATACAAATAAAACGTATAAAGAATTATCACTAAATTTGTAAATAAATCACACAAAAATATTTAGTTGGTGTAGCGTAAATTTCCAATGTATTTTTATTTGTTTCTGTTTAACCCCAAAGTTTACAAGAACAGTTGCCACCTTTTTCATAGCGTAATTCTTTTATTTCTTCGTTAGTGTTTAGCCCAAGGTGTGTTTGTTTGTTTGTTTTATCTTTTTTATGCCACGTTTTATGCCGCTCTTTATACTAAACATCGAAGGAATATATTATAGAGTGTTTGTCAGTCAACTCTACAAAATACTCAACTCACCAAGATGGCAATATATATATATAATTGGAAACTTCTGTGTTTTGTTTTTTGTTTATTTTTCTTGTTTTTTCAGTTATTATTGTTTTATTTTCTTGTACGATACTGAACAATGAATAACTATTCACCAAAGACATCTCGCCTCTCCTTCTGAACCACCAAACGCTAGATATTCAGATTCATGAACCCCGAAGCATTTATGGAGAGAATAGTGCCTCAGTCTACTGCTTCGGGTTCACGAGTCTGAATCTCTCGGTGTTCGGGAGGAGAAAAGCCACTTCGTGAGTTTTTATTTGCTGACATATCCATCAAAAGGTTCTAATTGGCTGAAGAAAATTTTGCTGATAAGAGAGTCAACTTCCCGAATTATAAAGTCATGTGTGTGATTGTGTTTGTACAGTATATATTGTACATAACGTGTTTTGTGTCGGTCTGTATGTTACGCATTTATTTGTTTATTTGTTTGTCTTAGTGTTTGTTCTAAGTATTTTAGCTGATTAAGAATTTATTGATATAATTTTTTTTTCACAAGTTAGTTTTATATCTTGTTGATAGATAGATAGATAGATAGATAGATAGATAGATAGATAGAAAATATAATGTTATTTCGAGAACCTCAAATTATTTTAAAACTTATTATATAAGTTTCTTTAAAATATAAACGTTGTATAATATAAATATATATAAAGACAGACCCTCTTCGTGTTCAGTCAAGGTTTAAGAATTTTACTGAATCAAGAGTCGGAGATTCTTGAAAATATTAGATAGGTTATGTGTATGTTAAGGCCTGTGTAATAAAGGGATTTATTTGGTGTTTGTGTGTGTGTCTGTTAGTTTCCAATCTCTCGTTTGCTTTAGTTCTGTTCATCTCTCGCTCTCTCATCTACCTCATGAACCGGTTTATACGTGCAGTCTTCGAGACGGACACAGAGTTGTTGGCTGAGCCCAGTGACCAGTTGATCCACTCTGAGGTGAAGGTGGAGGCGGTGGAGTCCAACGCCCCCCACACCCAGGTCCTCGCCCCACATCACCACCACACGTCCCACGCTTCCATAGGATACCTGCCCTTCGGAGCTCGCCTGCTTGTTTACGAAATGATCCAATATGCCTACGGGTAAACTATTCCCCAGTAGGAAGCACCTCACAGGTCTCCAGTCTTTACTTTTCCTGCAGCGACGATGACAGAAAATTCCATTACAAAACCTCATCATCTATATTTACCGCCAAACCCGGAGGTAAAGCTGTCACCTCCGGACACCGAGTATCTACCTCCTCCAGCAGCCACCGCCCCACTACCTCCCCCAGCAGCCACTGCCCCACCACCTCCCCCAGCAGCCACCGCCCCACTACCCCCAGCAGCCACCGTCCCACTACCTCCCCAGCAGCCACCGCCCACCACCTCCCCCAGCAGCCACCGCCCCACCACTCCCCCAGCAGCCACCGCCCCACCACCTCCCCAGCAGCCACCGCCCCACCACCTCCCCAGCAGCCACCGCCCCACTACCTCCTCCAGCAGCCACCGCCCCACCACTCCCCAGCAGCCACCGCCCCACTCCCCAGCTACCTCCCAGCAGCCACTGCCCCACTACCCCCCAGCAGCCACCGTCCCACCACCTCCCCCAGCAGCCACTGCCCACTTCCCCCAGCAGCCACCGCTCCCACCACCCCCAGCAGCCACCGCCCACCACCTCCCCAGCAGCCACCGCCCACCACCCCCAGCAGCCACCGCCCCACCACCTCCCCCAGCAGCCACCGCCCCACTACCTCCCCCCAGCAGCCACCGCCCCACTCCCTCCCAGCCACCGCCCCACTACCTCCCCAGCAGCCACTGCCCCACTACCTCCCCAGCAGCCACCGCCCCACCACCTCCCCCAGCAGCCACCGCCCCACTACCTCCCAGCCACCGCCCACTACCTCCCCCCAGCAGCCACCGCCCTCCTCCAGCAGCCACCGCCCCACTACCTCCCCCAGCAGCCACCGCCCCACTACCTCCCTCCAGTCACCGCCCCACTACCTCCCCCAGCAGCCACTGCCCCACTACCTCCTCCAGCAGCCACCGCCCCACTACCTCCCCCAGCAGCCACCGCCCCACTACCTCCTCCAGTAGTCACCGTCCCTCTACCTATAGACACGTCGCCTCCTGGTGTAAGAATAGAACATCCGCACCGTCCCTCTACCTATAGACACGTCGCCTCCTGGTGTAAGAATAGAACATCCGCTTCCTGTCATCTATGATTCTTAACAGCCTCCAGTTTTCGAGTTCAGGACAGAGCCTCCATCCTCGCCTCCACCCCCAGTCATTAAGGACCTTCCTCCTGACGCACAACTTCCTCTTATCACACCTACGCCACCTAGTGACCCCGTGCCAGAGACTGAGCCCCCCCTCCCCCCCATCACCAGTGGAGGAGTCTCTTCCCCCTGACCCCGGGCCGGAGATTGACCCTCTGCCAACCCCCTCCGCGGAGTACCTCCGTCCTCCTCCCGCGCCAGTGAGCCACGAGATTTTCCTCTCTGTTCCTCCTCAACCTGTTAGCGTGACAAGTCAGCAGAAGGGAGACGTAATCACAGTAGGCGGAGAAGAATTCCTCGTGCCAGCAGAACTGTCGCCGGTGGTCACCTTGCCGGAGTACAGATCACAAGTACGGTACAGCCAGGGGACAGCACCGGCGACACACCCTCACCAGGAGGTAGTCAAGGTGCTGTCACCTCACAGTGTGGCGTCACAGCCTCCACTCTCCCGCCACAGTGTACACGTAAACAACACCTTCCCGCTCAAAGCCTCGCCCTCAACCTCACACGTGACCGCCATCAGGAGGGTACACCCGGAGTGTCTTCAGAATCATAATTGTCTGGACGCAGAGATCTGCCTAACGGGAGGTGCATCGACGAGTGTGTCATCGCTGAGGATGTGTGTGTTGGTAACTCTTTCTGTCGCACACGTCACACACCCGGCTGTGTTTGTCCCAACATGTCCACAGCCGTCACGGTGCGGGGCAGCGGTCGTGGCCAATATGACTGTATGCCCATGAAAACGATGGGGCGACGACCAGCCCAACGCCGATACAGAAGTAACTCTGGCGGCCACCTGAGGAACCACAGGCCCATGACGGTGATCCACGGCAACAACCACAGGACGCCGCTGTTGTATAAGCAGCCATACACACAGTCACACTCACACATACCCTCATCTTCGCATGAACCTCCACCTGGCTCAGTCTTCCTCACCCTCCTCGTTTTATATTTGCAGTGTATTCCAGAAGCCCGCTGATCCCCATCGCCCCGTTCGGCGCGTACTGTAAGCACCTCAGTCCTGTACCGCTGTGCATGTATAGTGACGCTCCACCTCAAACAGCCAGCCTTAAACCGTCACATGACTGTCAGCGCAGCGTGTAGTAACTGGTCGCTGACTCTCACATTAACCCATGTATTGTGGTGCTAGTCACCACCCAGTTTACCCTAATGTGCAACTAGTCACCACTACAGTTAACTCACCATAATAATATAACCAGCCGCACCAGCCTTACTAAGACAAAATATTGGATTTAATTATCTTTGGCCGTAACTGAAGAATGGTTAATAAGTTGTAACACAAGTTGAGTTATTAACAAGTCACCTGTTGTCCGTCTGTCTGTCTGTCTTATTGTGTGGTGGTGCCAGGGCTCTCATGACAGATACGTCCCTACCTTAAAAGAGCGCCACTGCTGGCAGAAGGCGCTTGATTAACGTTAGTCTGGCGTAAGTTCCATGAGCAGAATGGAAAATAACGCCAGGCACTACCAATTGCTGGCACTGACGATATTTTTCTCGGTATGGGTTTGTGTTGTGTCGTGTGAACTATACTAAGGCAGAGCTGTCGGCCCTGCCTGCACCTCCTCTCTTGAGACTCACCACAGTAGATTGACCTGACTCCAACACACAGACGCAGCTCGACCATCGAGAAGAACCTGCTGGACACCAACATCTGTCACTTCCTCATCTCACCTAACCAAACTCTTGGCTGCCAATAGAAATGCACACTGCAGCCCTTCCAACCAATATAGTGCAGCAGTTTTATATAAACCAAATATTTTTTAGTTGTTGCTTTCAATTGTCAGCACACACACACACACACACACACACACACACACACACACACCATGAAGCTGACTTTATTCATCACTAATGTACTTAATGACACGAGGGTGCCATCACTCTCACCTTCTCCACCTGTAAACTAACATGTTAATGAATTAGTTATAGGACCTGGTGTTTACTCCCGTCTTGACAGTCTCGCCATCATTGTATAACTGCATACACAAATAACCTGTATGGCTGTACACGTGGCGGTTTATGTGTATGTAACAACCAAGAGGCACGTACAGTACTGACATGTAACGCACACTCAAAAAAGTATCTTCACGGAGGTGATCGATGAGTCTCATAAAGAACACTGTGGCTCCTGTTGTCTCGGTAGTGTTGTCAGAAGCCTTCGTCCGCTGTGTCATATTGTCTCAACACAAAATAGTGAAAATACTTTTTTAGAGCGTGTGTACACAACAGTATGCGTACATATTAATATTTATGTTTAACAAATGTATGTGTGTGCAGTATTGTATATGTGCACGATCTACATGTGCACTTAATAAGGTGTATGTGTAAGTAACAAATTATCTGTATGTAAGTAACTGTCTGTGCTCGGCATAACAAAGTGTGTATTTATGTATTTGTATGTATATTTGCTTCATAATACATAAGTGTATGCACAAATATTATACAAAAACAACATTGTAACAAACTTTCAAGATATTCAAAGAAACGCTTAGTGCATGACGTCATGCTGCCTTGACAACTGATTAACCAATGAGAGAGCGATTTGTGTGACGTAATATTTGTCATATGAAGTGATGGTTGTGACACAATAATTCTGACGTCATTACCGCTAGTTCCTTGTGACTAAAGCATAGTCTATGACGTTATAAGCTGGTGTCTGCTCGTGACGCGATACTAATACATAGTGAAGGTATAATCCATAACTCACTAATTACTGAATGACGTAATAATTTAACATATAATTACTACTCTTCACGGTAATTCCACGTGACTTAATTATTCTTAAACTTGTTATTGTTGAGTCTTATAACACGACAGTCACAAAAGTTCCTACGGTAAATATTCCTCATAATTAACGATTTTAATATACGACTGACTGATTACTGTACACAACCAACGTCAAGAAATGGCGTCCGAGTAACACAGAGACTCTACCTTAACTAGATACCTTCACTTAACACCAGGTAAGAGAATTCCCACAAACAGTCGGGTTACTTAAACAAGGGAAATAATACCTTCAATGTTTGTATTGTCCCTTGTTATAATGTCAGCCGTAACAGTATATCCCCTTGTGTCTTAGTAAAGTAACAGCTTTCAACGTGAAGTAAACCTAACCTAATCTAATCTAACCTAACCAAACCATACCTAACTTAACCTAACGTAACCTGAGTGTATGTTGACGGTACACAGCCACCTCACCAGCCGCTGTGTTGTAAGTGGCTTAAAATACACTCAGGAGACACATATTCTTGGGTGTGTCAGAAATGCACACTGGGTCACAAAGTCGCATTGACTACAGGGGAAACAAAATTCTCACTCTAATGCCCTGGCCCTAACAGGCCTTAAAAAACTTATCCGAACCTAACCTAGCCGACCCATACCTAACCTAACTTAACCTAACCTAACCTAACCTAACCTAACCTCCAAGTATGATATTTTAACCATTCGTTTATATCTTAAAATTTTGTCTGTGCGTATATGTTAATTATTCTATGGTTGTTAAACTGAAATTAAAAGCACATAAGATTTATATAAGTCTATGATTCAATGGCTAACTATGCATCTTTTCTCTCCCCTCCCCCCCCACACCTGTATCATCAACACACCTGCTGAAACCCTGATGATGATAACTGCCGAACATCCACGACGACATCCCTTGAAAACACACAACACATCCCTTCAAAAACACACAACACATCCCTTCAAAAACACACAACACAACCCTTCAAAAACACACAACACAACCCTACAAACTATGGCTGGATGGACGTCAACCTTCACAGCTCAGGAACGGGTGGTGTCACATGGGCGAGTTACTGCCCCCTCCAGAATTTCTGGACCGTCCTCTACCTTCTTCAGCAGCCGGGAAACTTTTTCATCACCGTGCACACCATCACCTTGCGGCGATAATACTTACTGTGAGGTCTCGAGAACAGGTTACGCACAATGCCGATGTGTGGACGGCTATGTCCCCGACAAAAACACGATTATCGGCTGCAAACCCCAGTGTGTAGGGTGAGTATATCGGTAGTTAGGGTGTCTAGAGTGAGTATATCGGTAGTTAGGGTGTCTAGAGTGAGTATATCGGTAGTTTGGGTGTCTAGAGTGAGTATATCGGTAGTTAGGGTGTCTAGAGTGAGTATATCGGCAGTTAGGGTGTCTAGAGTGAGTATATCGGTAGTTAGGGTGTCTAGAGTGAGTATATCGGTAGTTAGGGTGTCTAGAGTGAGTATATCGGTAGTTTGGGTGTCTAGAGTGAGTATATCGGTAGTTAGGGTGTCTAGAGTGAGTATATCGGTAGTTAGGGTGTCTAGAGTGAGTATATCGGTAGTTAGGGTATCTAGAGTGAGTATATTGGCTGCTAGAATGTATCAAGGATGTACAGCATGTCTTAGTGTACAGCATGTCTTAGTGTACAGCATGTCTTAGTGTATACAGCATGTCTTAGGGTCTACAGCATGTCTTAGTGTACAGCATGTCTTAGTGTATACAGCATGTCTTAGGGTCTACAGCATGTCTTAGTGTACAGCATGTCTCAGGGTATACAGCATGCATTAGGGTGTACAGCATGTCTTAGGGTGTGCAGCATGTCTTAGTATACAGCATGTCTTAGTGTACAGCATGTCTTATGGTGTACAACATGTCTTAGGGTGTGTGTGGTGTGCAGCATGTCTTAGTATACAGCATGTCTTAAGGTTAACAGCATGTCTTAGTGTACAGCATGTCTCCAGGGGTATACAGCATGCATTAGGGTGTACAGCATGTCTTAGGGAGTACAGCATGTCTTAGTATACAGCATGTCTTAGTGTACAGCATGTCTTAGGTGTCATGTCTTATACAGCATGTCTTGTGTACAGCATGTCTCAGGGTATACAGTGCATTAGGTGTACCTGGAATGTCTTAGGGTGTACAGCATGTCTTAGTGTACAGCATGTCTCAGGGTATACAGCATGCATTAGGGTGTACAGCATGTCTTAGGGTGTGCATGTCACAGCATGTCTTAGCGTGTACAGCATGTCTTAGTGTACAGCATGACTTCGGGTGTACAGCATGTCTTAGGGTTAGCAGCATGTCTTAGTGTACAGCATGTCTTAGCGTGTACAGCATGTCTTAGTGTACAGCATGACTTCGGGTGTACAGCATGTCTTAGGGTTAGCAGCATGTCTTAGTGTACAGCATGTCTTAGCGTGTACAGCATGTCTTAGGGTGTACAGCATGTCTTGGTGTGTACAGCATGTCTTTGTGTGTACAGCATGTCTTAGTGTATACAGCATGTCTTAGTGTGTACAGCATGTCTTAGGGTGTACAGCATGTCTTAGTGTGTACAGCATGTCTTAGTGTGTACAGCATGTCTTAGGGTGTACAGCATGTCTTTGTGTGTACAGCATGTCTTAGTGTGTACAGCATGTCTTAGGGTGTACAGTATGTCTTAGTGTGTACAGCATGTCTTAGTGTGTACAAAGGGTTCGATCCCGAGGTACTCCCAGTCCACCCAGGTGTAATGTGCACCTGACTATACAGTTGAGGAAGTGAAGGTGGTCGAATACAGCGTCGGCCACGGTGCCTCCTGGTATGTTATATCCACAATGTTTTAAGGGCATAGTGTGAGGGCATAGTATGTTTTATGGGTATAGTGTGTGGGCATAGTATGTTTTAAGGGTATAGTGTGAGGGCATAGTATGTTTTATGGGTATAGTGTGAGGGCATAGTATGTTTTATGGGTATAGTGTGTGGGCATAGTATGTTTTAAGGGTATAGTGTGAGGGCATAGTATGTTTTATGGGTATAGTGTGAGGGCATAGTATGTTTTATGGGTATAGTGTGAGGGCATAGTATGCTTTAAGGGTATAGTGTGAGGGCATAATATGTTTTAAGGGTATAGTGTGAGGGCATAGTATGTTTTAAGGGTATAGTGTGAGGGCATAGTATGTTTTAAGGGTATAGTGTGAGGGCATAGCATGTTTTAAGGGTATAGTGTGAGGGCATAGTAACTTAACATAACATTATATCCTTAGAGACTACGAGTGCCCAGATGACTTCCGGTGCCAAGGCAGTAAGTGCGTGCGGGTGTGTGTCCAGGGTGCGTGTGGCCTCAACGCTCACTGCGAGGCCAGAAATCATCAAGCAAGATGTTTCTGTCCAACAGGTTACAGAGGCAATGCTGAACACCGCTGTAGTCAGGAAGGTAAGAGATTCTGTTCGTTTACCTTCACCACACCTGTGTCTTGAAGTGTGTGTGTGTGTGTGTGTGTGAGTGTGTGTGTGTGTGTGTGTGTTGTGTCTTGAAAAGCGTGTGGTTCTGTGTCTAATCAGAAAAATAAATATCTTTTTGTTTCCGGTGGTGGTTGAACAGAGATCGAGGTCCGTAGAATACCCGCAGCTGAACCTGTAAACCCTTGCGACGCCTACCCGTGTGGTGTCAACACTGACTGCAATGAACGCGGTGGCAGAGCTGTGTGCACCTGTAAGATCGGCTATGATGGGGATCCTCTAACCGAGTGCAGACGTGGCCAATGTTTGGGTAAGTTTGCCTTGAATAAAAGGTCGTTTTCTCTCTCCTTAAGTCCTTGTTGTATAACAATGATAATAATGATTAGGATCACCTGAAGATCCCTCCGCCACAACTTATTTCATCTGAAGATTAACCACCCTAATGTTAACTTAGCCTAACTTATCCTACCACACCCTATCCTAAGATCTCAGGGCGGATTATCTCCAGGTGACATAAACTGGGAAGGAGCTAATCGCTACGTAATCTAAAAGTTGTAGTATTAGTAATGACGATGAGGATAAGTGACGTAAAACTCGTTATGCACACAGAAAACCAAGATTGCCCACAAAACATGTTGTGTAGATCATTGAAGTGCTTCGATCCCTGTTCTGACCCCCGCGACTACTGCGCCCCTAACGCTGTATGCACCACAACCAGACACCAAGTCGTGTGTTCCTGTGACAGGAATTACCGGGGCGATGGTGTTAACTCTTGTGAGAGATTCGATCCAGGTTAGTTCTCTCTGTCTGTCTGTCTGTTTGTCTGTCTGTCTCAATTCTTCCTCTTCCTCAGTGTTCACCGTCTCTCACTGTTACAACTCCTCATTGTTCACCATCTCTCACTGTTACAACTCCTCATTGTTCACCATCTCTCACTGTTACAACTCCTCATTGTTCACCATCTCTCACTGTTACAACTCCTCATTGTTCACCATCTCTCAATGTTACAACTCCTCATTGCTCACCATCTCTCACTGTTACAACAACTCATTGTTCACCATCTCTCACTGTTACAACTCCTCATTGTTCACCATCTCTCACTGTTACAACTCCTCATTGTTCACCATCTCTCACTGTTACAACTCCTCATTGTTCACCATCTCTCACTGTTACAACTCCTCATTGTTCACCATCTCTCACTGTTACAACTCCTCATTGTTCACCATCTCTCACTGTTACAACAACTCATTGTTCACCATCTCTCACTGTTACAACTCCTCATTGTTCACCATCTCTCACTGTTACATCTCTCACTGTTACAACTCCTCATTGTCTCAACTCCTCACAACTCCTCATTGTTCACCATCTCTCACTGTTACAACAACTCATTGTTCACCATCTCTCACTGTTACAACTCCTCATTGTTCACCATCTCTCACTGTTACAACTCCTCATTGTTCACCACCTCTCATTATTACAACTCCTCATTGTTCACCATCTCTCACTGTTACAGCTTCATTGTGCTCCCCAAGCCCTTGTGGAGGGAATACCAACTGCAGGGTGCAGAACGAAAGAGCGGTGTGTTCCTGTATCGATAACTACCTCGGCAACCCTTTGACAGGCTGTACACCCGAGTGTGTGACTGACTCCGATTGTAATCGCGCTGATCTTACCTGTAGACGAAACGAGTAAGTATGTTTTTTCTCATATTTTTTAATGTTGTTATAATAATTACTAACCTTGTTACGCGCTTAAATACCTTCATTGTTGAAGCGCAGTAATATAACAATAAGTGTGTTTGTCTCTCAATCTTTCTCCTCGGTGTGTTACCACTGTTTAACTCCCAGTGTGTTAACGTTTGGCCTTTCTCCACAGGTGTGTAAACCCGTGCATTGGTCTCTGCGGTGAAGGAGCACATTGTAACGTGAGGAACGGACAGGCACTATGTTCTTGTCCAAAATTCTACCAGGGAGATCCATACATCCGGTGAGTGTATACTTCAATTAAGACACACACACACACACACACACACACACACACCACTGATACTTTGTTATTCATTCAGTTCTCTCATACTCCCCTATACGTATCTCCCTCACTAACTCTCCCCCCCCCCCCACCTGGCTCACTCGTGGTCTATCCCCAGGTGCTCGGCTGAGTGTACCGCCCACGACGACTGCAGACCCTTCCAAGCGTGTGCGGAGTATAAATGCGTCAACCCTTGTGAAGAAGCGTGTGGAAAAGGGGCTGACTGTAAGGTGGAGGACCATACGCCCATCTGCTCTTGCCCTTCAGGATACACCGGACACCCCTTCGAAGGTTGCCGTCCATTTACTGATGGTAAGTGTGGGTATACTGCACACAGTACATGGGCGCGAGAATAGATATTCAGTAGATATACGGAAATAACGTGTTTTATTACAGATATTTCAGGATTTAACATGCTTGAGTACAACACGCCTTTAGTTCCACACATACACAAGCACACCTCAACGTTCCCCTACAGGACATGGACGCTATCTACATTCATTTAGCATGTATGTACACAATGTCAGTATATACAGTAAACAATGTACAGTTGCGGAAATGTGTTCCTACACCCCCTGTGGTAGCCAGTGTCTCCAAACAGCAACGTTGCAGAAGTAGTATCACTATTTATGAATTCATTGGTATTGGTCGTGTAACGTCGGACGTGATTGGTGAATTGGTTTGCTACAGGTCATATAGGTTGGCCGTTTGGAGACACGGGTTACCACAGGGGGTGTAGGAACACATTTCCACAACTGTACATAACCAATGCGGGTATACAAACCATGTACAGTTGTGGACAAAAGTAATTGGGCGGGGGTGGGAGGAGTGTAAGCTGCGTCTTCCTTATAAATAAACTAAAAATATTAATTTGTTGTGTGGAAAGAAAATCAGAGACTTTTAATCGTCACCTACAGTCCAGTCAGTATATGTGACGTTGCCGAGTCTCCGGTTATCCCTACCTCCCCATACACCACCTACCTCCCTTCCTCTCTCCCTGCTGTATATGGAGCAAGTAACAAGATCACTAGATTACAAGATGTTGTAACCGCTAGATTAAGGTTAGGATATAAGTACCTTTGGCAGTATGTTCCTCAAGCAGATGTAAACAAAACTAAATGTAAAGTGTGTGGCCATACATATAGCCACACACTTCAACACTACGTCCTCGACTGTGTGAAGATAGAACCTTTTAGGGACAGGTCCAAGCACACTGTGTGTGAAATGACACAACACTTCATCTCTAATGGCAAGATAGCCGACATATTAAGATTGTATCCACTTTTTTGCACTTAGTAACTATATCAATTCTCATGTACAGAACCAAATACTCAATGTGCTTGAATACCTCCCACGTAAATGTGAATAACAAAGTGTGCGGCCAGACATACTGCCTCACACGCCTGTTCTCACGCATTTGTGAATAAGTTACCCTTTATGTATAGAACTAAACAAATAATGTACATGAAATACTGTGTAACTTTCAGTGCCATAATATCCTGACAACGGGGGTTAATTATTATGACCCTTTGTAAACCCTACTCTGTAATCCTTTTGCGCTACCGCTCACAGGATGAGTGTGGGGTGCACAATAAAGTAGCCGCTGCAAGCTGCAAAAATCAATCTCTCCCTGCCTAATACAGTAGAGAGTGCAGGTATAAGATCAATGGTAGAAAAGTCAGTTTTAATGTTGGTTTCATATATTTAGTTAAGTGTTTACCATATTGTTTAACTTGCCAAGTATTTTAACAATAACGACAACCACCTTCCTCGCACGACAGATGACTACTGCAACCCGGACCCTTGCGGCTCCAACGCTAATTGTCAAGTTGGTCGTAATAAAATTGGTGAAAAGGTGCCCGTGTGTACCTGCCCTGAATACTACATCGGCAACCCTCTCAGCGCCTGCCAGTTGGGTTCCTGTAGATCTAACAACGACTGTCCGAGCACCCAGGCCTGCTACAAGTATGAGTGCAAGGTGAGTATCCATTACACGCACTACCTGCTCCACCCCTTACACCCATTACCCGCTACACCTACTACCCCTTACACCCATTACCTGCTACACCCACTACCCCTTACACCTACTACCAACTACACCCACTACCCTTTACACCCACTACCAACTACACCCCCATTACCCCTTACACCCACTACCTGCTACACCCACTACCCGCGCTCCACCCTCTACCTACCACACCCACTACCCGCTCCACCCTCTACCCACTACACCCAATCCACCCAGTCAACCACAACAATTCAACTGATCGTTTTGTTGATGTTAGAGTCTACTGTGAGAGGTGAAGCGTAACAGCCGTATCTTCTCGTCCACAGAACCCGTGTGTGTCACCAGCTGGGAGCGTGTGCGGAATAAACGCTAACTGCAAGGTAGAAAAACACGTGCCTATATGCTCTTGCCCAGAAGGGTATGAAGGTAACCCCATTCAGGAGTGTTCCATACCCTCCCGCAGACGCTACGTAAATCGCAGACGGAAGTAGGCGAATAACACACACCTGAAACAAGACAACGGCGGAATCATCGGGAATAAAACAGTTTATGGTAAACATCCCCAAGATACAAGACATTGGACGACAGATACACTTGATGGATCTTACTACGATGGTGATGATGACTGATCCTGCTCCAGGCTCACCCGTCACTCACTCTATTAAAGGTTCACAGTGTGCTAAAAAGTAAAAAAAAAAATGAAAAATGCCGAAAGCCTGCGTTGTTTGAATCGTAGGAACGAAAGAATTACATAAAAGATTATCAAAAATCTAGACGAACATTTCAATACAATGATTAACTTTTTCCTATTTGTTTAGTAATTACATAACCAGACTCAACAGTTGTCATAATCAATGGGTAAAAATTGGTAAAATCATCCGTCGACAAATCAAAAGTTTATCATTCGGTCGTAATTATTTTCTAACATTATATGAAACTGCTGAGACTCGTGCCAAACATGACGGAGGGCCGGGGTCAGTGTTGGCACTTGTAGAGGAGCCGCTGTGGCCCCTCTTACACCCAAGCTTTACTCTATCTTTTTTTTTATAAGTGTTGTCACTAAACCAGTTGCAATTCTGCACAAACGTTTTTCTTCTTCATAGATGTGTAATTATAAAAGTCAGCGATGCGTTGTATAATAAAAATCACTATAGGTGCTATCGCTTTCACTGGTACTAAATAATTATGAAACAACCAATATTGTCCGAACGTGTTTCTGCTTCCCCTAGTCATCCCTAACAAAACAAGTGTAGAAACGGGAGCTGGTGTTTACAAAGTTGAACCTTAAGAGAAAATGGGATTGTTAACAGCATAATCTGCACTAGAAGGCTGTCTCTTCGAGTGTTTCTCACCCAACCTCGGTGTGTGGAGCTTCCTCACGTGTCGAGCACCTCACTACCGTGCACCAGCTGAGGGAGAGTGTGGGAGTGCAGCTGAGGGAGGAGTGTGGGAGAGTAGTTGAGGGAAGAGTGTGGGAGAGCAGCTAAGGGAGGAGTGTGGTAGAGCAGCTGAGGAAGGACTGTGGGAGAGCATCTGAGGGAAGAGTGTGGGTAGAACTAAGGGGGGAGTGTGGGAGAACAGCTGAGGGAGGAGTGTGGGAGAACAGCTGAGGGAGGAGTGTTGGAGAGCAGCTGAGGAAGAAGTGTGGTCGAACAGCTGAGGGAGGAGTGTGGGAGAAAGGTGTTGTGCTCAGGAGTTGATCAACACCTAACGACAGAAATGCTCGGACTGAGCCTTCGTCCACTTCATTATAAAGTTTGTTTTGGGTCACACCAAATAACCCACTAATATTATTCTTCATTAATATATAAATACAAAATACAAAATCTAAGCCTTACTTTTTTATTTTCCTCCCAAAAAATCTCTCACCTGTTTACCCAGACAATAGACAAAGGTCGTCTACAGAGTTGCCAACTTAGCGACTTTGTAGCTAGATCTAGAGCTTTTTGTTTTTTTCTAGCGACATTTTAGAGCGATTTGCGACTTGTCGCAAATCTAGAGATATCCACAGAAATCTAGCGACTTTCTGGATACTTTTGGACTGTCCATGAAAACTCAGTTTTCCTAATTTCGAGCCATAATATATAGCAACGGGGTTACAGGGACAATACATTTGAACGGGTTGAACTCATAAAACAACTTCGTCAACGCTTACCTGACAACATTCGTGTGCTGCAGTCTATATCTTTTCTGAGTGCCGATGAATGCTTGAAGCCTATTAAATCAGATATACTTGGTTTGGCACACTTATTTACAGAAGATTCCAGCACCCTTACCAAGATTGATTTCCAGTGGAAAAAACTGCATCACACAATCTGGACAGAAACATCTAACACCCTAAAATTGTGGTCAGAAGTGACAAATTACAGAGATGCGACAGGTGAAAACCCTTACCATGATCTGGCTGAAATTGCACTCACTGCCTTATCTCTTCCGCATTCAAACGCAGATGTAGAGCGCACATTTAGTAATATGAACTTTGTGAAATCAAAATTGCGCAACAAAATGAAACTATCGACATTAAAGGCAATTCTTACAATAAAGTAAGGGTTAAAAAGACAGAACACCTGTTATGCAAGTTATGAACTTCCTAGTGATATTTTAGGAAAGATAGGGACTGTGGAGGCATACAGTTACAAGAGAACCTGAACCAAGCACTTCACATGCTTCCAGTTCTACAGTTGTTCACACTGCCGACGACTACGAAGAGGACTGGGAGGCAATTACTATTGAATAATAGGTAAGTGTGCACATTAAACTTTAAAAAAAAATAATATTTTTATTTTTACATAATGCATTTTATTTATACTCCGTCCATTATAGTCGGCATTATGAAAATATTATTTGCATCAAATTACTGAAGGGGGTGAATAATAGCTAGCGACTTTCCATGGAAGATTTAGTGACATTTAGCTACTTTTAGGTACCAGCCTAGCGACATTTGAAAATCCGAGTTGGCAACCCTGGTCGTCTATCTAGAGAAGTATAATCAAAACATCAGTCATTATTATTCCTTACACGAAACACTATTGTCTCTATAACTACTTCTCCTAATTAAGCTCAAGAAACACAGGTGTGTGAGTCAGTGAACCATAACAAGTGTGTGCATCAGTGAACCACAATAGGTGTGTGAGTCAGTGAACCACAATAGGTGTGTGAGTCAGTGAACCACAACAAGTGTGTAAGTCAGTGAACCACAACTGGTGTGTGAGTCAGTGAACCACAATAGGTATGTGAATCATTGAACCACAACAGGTATGTGAGTCAATGAACCACAACAGGTGTGTGAGTCAGTAAACCACAACAGGTGTGTGAGTCAGTAAACCACAACAGGTGTGTGAGTCAGTGAACCACAATATGTGTGTGAGTCGGTGAACCACAACAAGTGTGTAAGTCAGTGAACCACAACTGGTGTGTGAGTCAGTGAACCACAATAGGTATGTGAATCATTGAACCACAACAGGTATGTGAGTCAATGAACCACAACAGGTGTGTGAGTCAGTAAACCACAACAGGTGTGTGAGTCAGTAAACCACAACAGGTGTGTGAGTCAGTGAACCACAATAGGTGTGTGAGTCAGTGAACCACAACAGGTGTGTGAGTCAGTGAACCACAACGAATGTGTGAGTCAGTGAACCACAACAGTTGTGTGAGTCAGTGAACCACAACAGGTGTGTGAATCAGTGAACCACAGCAGGTGTGTGAGTTAGTAAACCACAACAGGTGTGTTAGTCGGTGAACCACAACAGGTGTGTGAGTCAGTAAACCACAACAGTTGTATGAGTCAGTGAACCACAACAGGTGTGTGAGTAAGTGAACCACAACAAGTGTGTGAATCAGTGAACCACAACAGGTGTGTGAGTCAGTGTGTGAACCACAACAGGTGTATGAGTCAGTGAAACAACAGTTATGTGAGTCAGTGAACCACAACAGGTGCGTGAGTCAGTGAACCACAACAGGTGTGATTCGTGAACCACAACAGGTGTGTGAGTCAGTGAACCACAACAAGTGTGTGAGTCAGTGAACCACAACAAGTGTGTAAGTCAGTGAACCACAACTGGTGTGTGAGTCAGTGAACCACAATAGGTATGTGAATCATTGAACCACAACAGGTGTGTGAGTCAGTGAACAACAACAGGTGTGTGAGTCAGTGAACCACAACATGTATGTGAGTCAGTGAACCACAACAGTTATGAGAGTCAGTGAACCACAACAGGTGTGTGAGAAAGTGAACCGTAACAGGTGGGTGAGTTAGTGAATCACAACAGGTGTGTGGGTCAGTGAACCACAACAGGTGTGTGAGTCAGTGAACCACAACAGGTGTGTGAGTCAGTGAACCACAACAGGTATGTGAGTCAGTGAACCACAACAGGTGTGTGAGTAAGTGAACCACAACAGGTGTGTGAGAAGGTGAACCGTAACAGGTGTGTGAGACAGTAAACCACACCAGGTATGTGAGTCAGTAAACCACAACAGGTGTGTGTGAGTCAGTGAACCACAAAAAGTGTGAGAAAGTGAACCACAACAGGTGTGTGAGTCAGTAAACCACACCAGGTGTGTGAATCAGTGAACCACAACAGGTGTGTGAGTCAGTGAACCACAACAGGTGTGTGAGTCAGTGAGCCACAGCTGGTCAATGAACCACACTAGGTGTGTGAGTCAGTGAACCACAGCAGATGTGTGAGTCAGTGAACCACAGCAGGTGTGTGAGTCGGTGAACCACAACACGTGTGTGAGTCAGTGACCCTCAGCAGGTGTGTGAGTCAGTGAACCACAACAGTTGTGTGAGTCAGTGAACCACAACAGGTGTGTGAGTCAGTGAACCACAGCAGGTGTGTGTGAGTTAGAAAACCACAACAGGTGTGTGAGTCGGTGAACCACAACAGGTGTGTGAGTCAGTGAACCACAACAGGTGTGTGAGTCAGTGACCCACAACAGGTGTGTGAGTCAGTGAACCACAACAAGTGTGTGAGTCAGTGAACCACAACAGGTGTGTGAGTAAGTGAACCACAGCAAGTGTGTGAATCAGTGAACCACAACAAGTGTGTGAATCAATGAGCCACAACAGGTGTGTGAGTCAGTGAACCACAACAGGTGTGTGAGTCAGTGAACAACAACAGGTGTATGAGTCAGTAAATCACAACAGTTATATGACTCAGTGAACCACAACAGGTGTGTGAGTCAGTGAACCACAACAGGTGTGTGATTCGTGAACCACAACAGGTATGTGAGTCAGTGAATCACAACAGGTATGCGAGTCAGTGAACCACAACAGCAGTGTAGGTGAACCACAACAGGTGTGTGAGACTGTGAACTGTAACAGGTGGATGAGTTAGTGAATCACAACAGGTGTGTGAGTCAGTGAACCACAACAGGTGTGTGAGTCAGTAAACCACAAGAGGTGTGGAGTTAGTGACCCACAACAGGTATGTGAGTCAGTGAACCACAACAGGTGTGTGAGTAAGTGAACCACAACAGGTGTGTGAGAAGGTGAACCGTAACAGGTGTGTGAGACAGTAAACCACACCAGGTATGTGAGTCAGTAAACCACAACAGGTGTGTGAGTCAGTGAACCACAACAGGTGTGAGAAAGTGAACCACAACAGGTGTGTGAGTCAGTAAACCACAGCAGGTATGTGAGTCAGTGAACCACAGCAGGTATGTGAATCAGTGAACCACAGCAGGTATGTGAGTCATTAAACCACAACAGGTGTGTGAATCAGTGAACCACAATAAGTGTGTGAGTCAGTGAACCACAACAGGTGTGTGAGTCAGTGAACCACAACAGGTGTGTGAATCAGTGAACCACAACAGGTATGTGAGTCAGTGAACCACAACAGGTGTGTGAGTAAGTGAACCATAACAGGTATGTGAGAAAGTGAACCATAACAGGTGTGTGAGTTAGTGAATCACAACAGGTGTGTGAGTCAGTGAACCACAACAGGTGTGTGAGTCAGTGAACCACAATAGGTGTGTGAATCAGTGAACCACAACAGGTGTGTGAATCAGTGAACCGTGGGGTGTGTGAGTCAGTGAACCACAGTGTGTGAGTCAGTGAGCCACAGTGTCAATAAACCACACTAGGTGTGTGAGTCAGTGAACCACAACAGGTGTTTGAGTCAGTGAACCACAGCAGGTGTGTGAGTCGGTGAACCACAATAGTTGTGTGAGTCAGTGAACCACAACAGGTGTGTGAGTCAGTGAACCACAGCAGGTGTGTGAGTTAGTAAACCACAGCAGGGGTGTGAGTTAGTAAACCACAACAGGTGTGTAAGTCAGTAAACCACAACAGGTGTGTGAGTCAGTAAACCACAACAGGTGTGTGAGTCAGTGAACGACAACAAGTGTGTGAGTCAGCGAACCACAACAGGTGTGTGAGTCAGTGAGCCACAGCTGGTCAATAAACCACACTAGGTGTGTGAGTCAGTGAACCACAACAGGTGTTTGAGTCAGTGAACCACAGCAGGTGTGTGAGTCGGTGAACCACAATAGTTGTGTGAGTCAGTGAACCACAACAGGTGTGTGAGTCAGTGAACCACAGCAGGTGTGTGAGTTAGTAAACCACAGCAGGGGTGTGAGTTAGTAAACCACAACAGGTGTGTAAGTCAGTAAACCACAACAGGTGTGTGAGTCAGTAAACCACAACAGGTGTGTGAGTCAGTGAACGACAACAAGTGTGTGAGTCAGCGAACCACAACAGGTGTGTGAGTCAGTGAACGATAACAAGTGTGTGAATCAGTGAACCACAACAGGTGTGTGAGTCAGTGAACCACAACAAGTGTGTGAGTCAGTGAACCACAACAGGTGTGTGAGTCAGTGACCCACAACAGG